AAAAATAACATATTTTCACTGAAAATAACGCTAACTCTGTAAACTCGCAAGGAAATTAAAGTAACAGGTCTGATTTCTAACACTGCAAAACGCAAGAAATTAGCATTCCTATTTATAGACCATTCGAGGCATAAACAGAGGGGTCACGACCCCCAGTCATAATACTCTATCAGCTTAACATATGATATATCAGACCATTCCGTGGACGTTTAAGAACACAGAAAACACTGAACTTGATTGTTAAACAAAAAAACGAACGTTTTATTCTCTTATACAGTACATGACTTAAAAACACATTGACAGTTTTTGTGAAGTGAAGGACAACACTATTTACTCACTGAAGGTCACCAGACAATTGTCAGTGTCTTAATCTGGCAGGTCAAGTCTAAATCGAGATGATTTTAAACAGCCAATTGATACGTAATGTTACATGCCGGGCACATCCGATGGTTTATGGAGATTGTGTGTAATTGTCATGTGTGATCAGGCAACGATATGACACAGATATCCGCCCAGTTTGGCAGACACACTTACCTACGAACTGCCTCACATCATTGACATTGAATTCCTTGCCGGGTATCCTGTATCAAAAACCAGAGTGAGTAACTGTTAACATTTTAAATACTGAAAAACGTAACTTTACAATGAAATTTAACACGAGATGAAAATGTTGAGTACTTCACAGGTTTCGGAAACGGTTTACCTCATCCCAAGACCCGATTTATCTTTTATTAACAGTGGCGTGTTGAAACCATTCTCTTGAACATATTTTAAGGTAACTTCTGTGAAATAAATAGAAATACAATTATTTAAGATTATTTAAGTAACCAATTCCAAGAGAATGACGATGTCCGGTGGAAGTATTTTGTTACGAATGGAAACGAACGTCTGATGTGGTCGTACCTTCGCCTTCTACAAATTTGATAAAATCTTCCCCGAATTTGTCAGTAAGAAGTTTGTCTTCTACACAGAAAGTACGTTTGCCTTCTATCTCATCATCTTGTTCTTGCCCCTCGTCGTATCGCTTTCGTTCCTTTGCGCGCTATTTGAAAATAAAGAAAAAAAGAATTACAAATCGGTAGAAATAAATTGGCACACACGTAAAAATGCATCCTTATGTTTCATGGACGGTCCACGACAACCAGGCTAAATTTAAAAAGGGAATATTAATTACCCTATCTCATTAATTCAATATATTGAAGTTTGCGATGCCAATTGACCCTTTTCTTTGGCGCGATGTTTGAAAACTCAAACGCAATGTATTGGTTCCCTCATGTCGCGCCATGAACACATGGATTTTTAGTGCGTTCGAAAAGCTATGCCCAAAAGTGTCGCAGGCTAAATTTAACGACCAATTTCGCACTCAACACCGAGTCAATAGTATGTTGTCACTCTATATGGTCAACAAAGTTGATTTCAAGGCGACAACTTTCTTCCAGGAACGAAAATAGGAGGCCGATTTTCAGATCGCGTGGAAACACACTGTACATGGATACACGGCAAGCAAGACGCAAATGTTTTCAAAAATACATTTTCGAAAAATAGACTCTCTCGATTACTTTTCACTATCCAGCCACCAACTACTATTTATCACAATGCTTACTGCTTAATTAGTAAGTTTCTAGAACAAACGGTTTTCGAAAAAATACGAGATTTAAGTTGCGATTTGAGCTTGGCGGCCCGTATTTTCATAGAATCGACATGGAGTGAGTCTCAGCAAACGAATTCGCTCGCTTCGCCGACGCGAAAACATCACTCTGAGAAAACCATCATGTAAGTTAGTATAATTTCATTAATTGTAAGACATTTAACGATATCAATAAAACTATCACATAAATAAAATGTTATTTTTTCAGTCAGGTCTCACATGTAAACCGCCATCAAAACACTGTACAACATGGCGTACAGGCTATGTACTATCGCTATACACGAAGCTGATGCAAAACTAGGTGCAAAATGTCGTTGGAGTGGAACAACTACAAACCAATTTTCGCCCAGTATCAGTTGCGTTCTCCATCATAGAGTATGCAAAAATAGAAAATTCGACGGAAAGGCATGGATGTGAAAGACAAAGCAAGCAAATTGCTAGGGCTGGCAGAGCCGTAAGAAGGTCACAACTTTTGTGTAGCTCCAACGCGTCGGTACATAAATTTGCATAACAAGTTATGACGTCACTCACAATCAGCACGTTCACATATCATACCCTTGACCTTTCACATAACATACTGCTCAGTTTGTATATGACTTATAAGTATCTCTACCGAGAAGGTACACTTTATTAAGAAGGGTGTGAAAACTGAAATTTGGAGACAAAAATATTCAACACGGTGGGAACCATTTTATAGAACTCTCTAAGTTAGTACAAAACAATAATATGCGGAACAACCGGAAATGTGAATATGTTTGTGTAAAACAGTAGAATTTGTGACCCTAGCAAATATTTGTTGAAACTATAATAACATAATTATATTTAATAACAATACAATAAAAATTTATCTCTGAAAAAGATTAAAGTTGCACGTGTATTCGCTTGAAAAGGCAGCCATACTGTAAACAAAGAAACATAGGGAGCATTGTTAACAGGCAAAGCAAGACTTTCTCGTGTTCTCGATTTTTTTTGCAGGAATTTGTTTTGATGAAAGAAAATCGCGATCAAGAAATTGTGCAAGGCAGAAACACACAGGACAACTCTAATAGTCTTTATAGACTTTAGTAGTAGATTGTAGACCATCGCCACAATTCAAAATTCAGTCCATACCGGTAACAGCTTCTGTTGGTTGTGGCGGTGGATCATATTCGGAGTGGGTCTATAGAGCATACGTCAAAGAGATGTCTAATCAGCACTCGATGCAAGCCTTGTCGTGGAGGAGATTATATCTCAGTCGTGCCAAACTGAAATCGTCAAGTAGAACTTCGGCACTGTTATCTGGTTTTGCCATGGTGAGTATATAATATCAGAATAATAACAACTCGTTAATCGACGATCTCAGGATGAGAGGGGCGTGGTCTGCTTGACTTTTACCTTTGTCGTATTTTAGGTTCATAACATAACACACGTGTTACTGTTGACAAACAGTGTCAGTCGCGCGACTTGCGCCACTTCCTAACGTTGTCAAAGTACTATATTTCAACTTCACATGGCTTTAATAATGCACATATTTGTTATGATGTTTTGTGATACAAGGTATA